TCTCGTCTATTCTCGTTACCTTGATGCATTGTCCACGTGAGTCGGTTGGGTGTACACATTGGGCAGTCTTATAATAACGCAAATGGTATTTTCGCTCCACATCACCGGAAACCCGATGCAGGTAAACGCAACTAAACCAAATAGTTTAGAACTCTGGCACTACTATGATTTTCAGATGGAAATTGAAAAAAAAAATGAATTAGCGAAAGTGATGCAAAGATGGAAAATGACAAAACATCTTTAAAGAAACTTACTCGTCGCCATCTGGGCAAATGCCAGTGTTTTCGTCATACTTATCACAATAGATATCGGGCGAATAATTAAATGAGCCGTCAGATTTACGTAGCGGCCTGAAAAGATATTTGGTTTGACTCGTAAGTCACGCTGTTGAATGTCTAGCGAACTTTCTTAAGCTCTAGCGATGTACACAACAGTGGAAAGTATAAATCAATTTAAATCCTTGCTTAGCACAATTTGAACTTGTATTGAATTAATTCGTAGGATCGTGCGGAATTATTAAACAAAGTACAAGAATAAGTCAATGAGGATTACGCGTGAATTCATTTTTAACTAAATAGATAATTACTAAATAACCTTTTATTTAGCGGAAAAAAATCAAAGAGTTTTCGCTCTTAATATTTGAAAATAATTTCCTTAAGTTGGCAATTCATTACTTAAGGATTCCCACGTTATGAAATCCACGTCTGCGGAGATTTAGTTGACCAAACACTTGACCACAAGAAAGCAAATGAACTTTAATTGTCATCCACTGCTGACTTCAAAATTCTACAAGGTTAATTCAAATATTTGCAACGTGAACTTCCACACGGTGTTTGAAGTGTTTATTAGTGTCAAGCAAATCCCAATAAAGTGCAACAAAATAGAAGGTCATTTAGATTATGACACTAATCTGACAGAGAAAGAAAAGTAATTTGTGCTGATTTCCACGGAACCTATTCAGCTATCCTCCAAAAGATTGGCAAAGCCTTTTCTTCAAAAATTTTGTTTGAAGACAAAAAAAAAGT